GGCGGGGCGGGCGCGCCCCCCCCCGCCCCCGCCGCAGACAGAGCCAGCCCTGTGCACGCTCCAAGCAAACAGCCATGAAACAAATCACTTCCAGTAGATTAAGCCATTTGGGCAGTGTCTCACTAAACTGAAACTTTAAATAGCTCGACGCTTTACGTTCTCCGTGCAGAGGACTCGTGGAAAAAAAAAGGAAGTCACTCTTTATTTAGCTTTTCTTTAAGGTAGCTGGATTTTGTCAGAGGCTCCGCCGCTGTAACAGCTAAATAGGAAACGTCCCACAAATCTATTTATTAAAATGTTCCTGACCTCACAGCGCGGCCGCAGCCTCTGCCAAACTCTCACCCCGGTACCGCTGTGTTTACATTGCGGGGAAACATCCCATGCTCTCACTCCGGGATCAATTATTTTCATTAGCAATTACGTTTGAAGCTCATGGCAGGACCCGGGTTTGCTGCTGGCTCGCAAATGCGCACCCCACCTTTCTCTAAATGACGCCGTTTCTGTTCATTTATCACGGCAGGGCCGACCTGTTAATCGTTGTACGTTGCTGCCAAGCCTGCAGCAGAGCTCAGCAATGATGCCTCAGCATATGGTGCTGCTAATCCCAGGTTGTTGTGCAGCCTCGGGAAGCGAAGAGGAGTTCAGGCTGCATTGCCATGGCATCTCCGCAGAGGTGACAGCCACCACCAGTGGTGACACGGGTCGTGATGGGGGCAGTTAAATACTCACTGGATCGAGGCCATTTGTTCACGTTACGCAGGTCAAGACCAAACTCAAAGCACCCGCTGAGAGGTGGCTGAAGGGTCTGTCTGTCTGAGCCTGTGTGGGACAAACTAAGCAGCATTCACTGCCCACAGGGTGATGGTAACACCAGAGGGGAAAGAAATAATCACTCTAAGGCAAAAAACAGGAATTATTATTGCAAAGCTTCTATGAGGCCCCACCAATAACGGAGCATAATGCCAAAAAATGAGTGTTTACTATTCAAATACTTGTCCTCTGCATGGTCCCTGCGAGAAGCCCTCCGGACCTCCCTTACCTGGTCACAGATGAGCTCCCACTTCTTCTCGTTGTCGTATTGCCTCAGCAGCCGGGCTTTGTCGGGCGGCAAGTTCATGGCATTCTGCGGAGAAAGAGAAAGCAAACGTGAGGTGACCACAGAGGGCTCGGGCTGCGGCGGAGCCAGACACGAGCAACCCAAGGCAACGCGGCTGTGGCTGCTTTGATTGTTTCGTGTGAATTCCTGTTGACAGGGTTATTCAGAAACGTTCCCTCTAAACGTCATCTTTGGCCCCAAAAGCACCAGTGAATCACAAGGCTCAGTAATGGGACACGCTAGGATCCACGAGGAGGTGAGCGACCGGAGCTCAGGACAAGTCACCTCCATCTGGAGGAGAGGACGGGGCATCCTGGTGCTGCCATGGCACAGCAGCCACGTCCCACCCCAGACAGGTCCCATCTTCCACCCCAGACAGGTCCCATCTTCCACCCCAAATGGGTCTCACCT